TAGCAGAAGCGGTGCATTCAATTCTTGTGCTTCAAAAACTAAGATCATGTCCACTGGTCCCATCACCTCCTGGCAAATAGAAGGGGAAGAAATGGAGACAGTGAGAGATTTTACTTTCTTGGGCTCCATGATCACGGCAGATGGTGACAGCAGCCACGAAATTAAAAGACGTCTGCTTCTTGGGAGAAAAGCAATGACAAACCTAGGCAGCATCTTAAAAAGCAGAGACATCACCTTGTCGACAAAGGTCCGTATAGTTAAAGCTATGGTTTTCCCAGTAGTGATGTATGGAAGTGAGAGCTGGACCATAAAGAAGGCTGATCGCTGAAGAATGGATGCTTTTGAATTACGGTGCTGGAGGAGACTCTTGAGAGTCCCATGGACTGCAAGAAGATCAAACCTATCCATTCTGAAGGAAATCAGCCCTGAGTGCTCACTGGAAGGACAGATCGTGAAGTTGAGGCTCCAATACTTTGGCCACCTCATGAGAAGAGAAGACTCCCTGGAAAAGACCCTGATGTTGGGAAAGATGGAGGGCACAAGGAGAAGGGGACGACAGAGGACGAGATGGTTGGACAGTGTTCTTGAAGCTAACAACATGAGTCTGACCAAACTGCAGGAGGCAGTGGAAGACAGGAGTGCCTGGCGTGCTCTGGTCCATGGGGTCCTTTGGAGTCAGAAAGAGTTGGACACGACTAAATGACTAAACAACAACACTGGGTGACTGGGCAATAGGAAGGCAGATGAGTACAAGTAAGTCTATATCCACAGTATCAGCTTAAAATGCACCTAGCCTGTTCTTTTTCTCAATTCAGACCAAAGCTGGTTAATTGGGGGGGGGGCTGTCCATCAAAACACAGTATATAATAACCAATGGCACGATAGAGATGGACTGTGGCTTATGTCGTATGTTTGCTACTGAGAAAGCACTGGATGCAGAGAAAACAGGAGTGTGTACACAGCTGAAATGTCTCCTCGCCAACTGTTCCCATTTAGCCTGGAATAGCAATCATTTGCAGCACTCTGTCTTGCGGAAAAGTCTATCCTCCAACCATTTTATTTTAAAAGCATCAGCTATGAGACAGTTCTAGGGAAATTAAATTCAATACCAATTTTTTTTTTTGTCCTAGCAGTATTCCAGAAGGAGTTCCCCAAACAGCCAATGCTGTGAGTTTTCTGTCACCTTCTCAATATTTCATTCCTGGGTATATACAACCAATATTTTGATCCAGTGTGTATTAACAAACTAAATGCAACATAAACTAAAAGCCTGGGAGTTGGGAGAGTGAAGACATCATTGTAGAAAGCTCACGTTCTATGTTCCAATGAAGCACAACACTTTCTGAAAATTAGACAATCATCATGACAAGCTGATGAAAGTTTACTTTTTATCAAGAAAAGGAAACAGGAATATTAAAGAAGAAAAAGAGAAGAACTGAGGCAAGAAGAAAAGACAGTTCCAAGAACAGGGAAAAGTGAATGAGCAGAGAAGAACCTACAGGATGACTACTGGAAAGACAGGCAAAGAATACAGAATTAGAAAGTGGCAGATGAAAATTTCTGGGTCTCTTTCAAGTCCAGAGATCAACATCTAAGGCCAGAGGAAAATGTCAAGTAGGAATACGACCCTCCCACCTTCTTCTGATGGTAGTCCAACTCAGGGAACCACCTGCAGTCTCTGCAATGGATGAAGGTGCTGACTCACTTTGTTATTCTTTCTGCTCTTTTTTAGAAATGGAAAAAAGGAGTTGTGTGTTTGTATAAACCACCCAGATCCTTTGGAGATAAAGAGAGACATCTAACACAGAGATACACATCAAGGTCATTTTCAAAAACTGGATTAAAAATAAGTCCTCTGCTCACAAGAAAGTGCTCTGGGAATGCACCCTAGTCAAATACGCTAGACAAATATGTGCCTAATTTACACAGCAAACCAACACCATCCAAATAACAGTATAATTGACGTCCATCTGCTGGAAGTCACTTCTACATATTCATCCTACTAAATTGTTCCCTTGGAAAAGCCAGGCATTTAGGACCCTAAAGTTCAGACATTTCATGACACAAAATGCAATGGACGTATATTAAGACACTCTCCATAGATTTGGAGACTGGCTGGCATGGCAAAGAAGACTCTTTAAAGCTATGAAGAGAATATGGAACAGCAGAGAAGAAAGGATTCGCAAATGAGAAAGGGAGTTTGGAATGGGGAAATGGAGGAAGGGTAAAGCTCTAAAGTCAAAAGCAAACTGGTGCTTAGAGAGATCGGCCTGGACTCAATCATCCACAGTACAAGGGAGGGCCAGTGTGGGATCCCTCTACTCACCACCAGTGAAAGGATCAGAAACATGGGTCTTGCCTGCTGTAACCGGAAGGAGAAAAAAATAACAAGCTGTTGAATGCCCTTCAAGAACCACCAGGGAATATTCCATATCAAAACCTCTGCAACAGATGCCTATACAAAGAGCATGTGGGCACAGTGGTTCATATTTGCAAGTGTCCAGGGTGTCTTCCTTCCTAAACATTATACAGTACATATATATACTGTGTAGAGCTGTTTTGTCATCTATTTATTCTGGCATCTATTTATTCAAGTGCAGAGAGGCTGGATGCAAACCCACATTACGTGGTTACTCCTTCTCGGGCTCTGCAGGTAATCACTGTAATGTTCCTATTGCTAGATGTAAAATCGTGGGGAGATTTTTTATTTTTATTTTCTTCTTCTCAAATCGAAGCGTACAGCAAAACCTAATTGGCAGCATGCAGTCTGACTTTTATTGCAGTCATATGACTTAGTAAAATTATTGGCTCCTCGCTTAAACAAAACAAGTCACCCGGTTCTCTTGTGGCTTGCTGTAGAGAAAACCTGCTCCCAAGTAAGACCTTTAAAAAAAGGAATGAAATGTTAGATCGGCTAAGCTCTTATTTCTTCTCCCCAGTCACTGCTATCATTCCCTTTGGAAAACCTTTACGACTTACAGGAAGATGTGTCACTAGGCTCAAAAAACAAACCCAGAAATTGTCCCAGTACACTTCCGAGCACAATTCAAAATGTTGGTGCTGAGCTTTAAAATCCTAAATGGTCTCGCCCCAGCATAGCTGAAGGAGCGTCTCCACCCCCATTGTTGAGTCTGGACACTGAGGTCCAGCTCTGAGGGCCTTCTGGTGGTTCCCTCACTGCGAGAAATGAGGTTGCAGGGAACCAGGCAGACGGCCTTCTTGGCAGTGGTGCCTGCCCTGCGGAACGCCCTCCCATCAGATGTCAAGGAGATGAACAACAACACAACTTTTAGAAGACATCTGAAGGCAGTCCTGTATCAGGAAGTTTTTAACGTTTGACATTTTATCGTTTTTATATGTGGTGGAAGCCACCTAGAGTGGCTGGGGAAACCTAGTCTGATGGGCAAGGTATAAATAAAAGTGGTGTTGGTGTTGTTATGCACCATAAATAAAGCACCAGGACTGCTTTTTAAAATAAGAGGCACATCACAAAACAGTAGACTAATGAGGGTTGTGTTTTCTTAGTTAGTTTTTCATAGCCCCCCTTCAGAGGTCAAGGAATCCTGTGATCTTGCCCATCCCAATATGCAAGGATGAAAAGCTGCCATGCCACCTGCATGGTTCTTGTAGCCACGACACCTGATTTTCATTGCTTCTCTGTTATCGTTTGTCCAACCCACACACTTTCTTTTTTAAAATAAATAAATAAATAAATAAATAAATAAATAAATTTTATTTAAGATTTGACAATAACAATAAATCAACAATAACTAATGTATCAATTCACAATTTGCTACAGTTGACCATCATTAACAACAGTTAACAAACTACAAAGCATCACTTCGAATTAGTCAACTTTTCATATTTAACTTTGTCTCTTTCTTAGCAGATCAGAAAGAAAAGAAACTAGAAGGAAAAAGTGAGAAGAGATAGAAATTTAAAAAAGGAAGAAAGAAATTAATAAAGAAAAGAATTAAAAAGAGAAAATAAATATATTTAACTTCCGATTAGACTCATTGTAGTATATAACACCACAAGATGTTGTATTTGCAGTTTCCAGCACATTCATATGTATATATATTTCTTCCTACAACACCCACCCCACCCCCAATCCACACACTCCAGTGAACAAGCGACTATTTAAGGGAACTCTGCAACAATGGCACACAAGCAGAATTCACAGGCAAGGAGAGCTATATGGCATCACGTTATATGCCTCCCTTGAGGTTTCATTGAAAAGAGAATAAAACAAACTGTGCAGAAGAAGTGCTCATCACACTTCATGCAGAAAACAGAACATAATTTTAATCAAACACCCTTGCATTGACACAACTGTTCCAACCTAACCACAGGTCATTGCCCTCCTCTCTCTCCTCCTCATCTACTTCATTTCATGAACATTACAACAAAATGCACATCAAAATTATTGGGGGGGGGAGGAGCACCTTACACATGAAATGGGTCTGAAAGCATTTATTCTTCCATTATTTATACTTTACACCAAATGCTTTTGAAGAGCATTGGTTGCACATGATGTTTCCTTTTAAGTTTGGCCAGTTACAATTTTTTTTGAAATTCCAAACTCACATAACTCAAAATTGGGATGAGCTAAAAATATTAAAATTGTAGATTTAAACTTAGTTTTGACCATTCGACAAGTGTACAAAATAAGAAGAGAAGAAGAGGAGTTTGGATTTGATAGCCCGCCTTTCACTCCCTTTAAGGAGTTTCAAAGCGGCTAACAATCTCCTTTCCCTTCCTCCCCCACAACAAACACTCTGTGAGGTGAGTGGGGCTGAGAGACTTCAAAGAAGTGTGACTGGCCCAAGGTCACCCAGCAGCTGCATGTGGAGGAGCAGAGACACGAACCCAGTTACGTGACTACCGCTCTTAACCACTATACCACACTGGCTCTCTTTAAAATATTAAGACAATTGGATGACATGAGGTTAATAAAAGTTGGATCACTTGATCACTTGGATGCTAAGGAAGGCTACCTAGATCATTCCTTGGATAGCTCAGTTGGTAGAGCATGCGACTGTTAATCTCAGGATTGTGGGTTTGAGCCCCACTTTGGTCAAAAGATTTCTGCATTGCAGAGGGTTGAACTAGATGATTCTTTTGGTCCCTTCCAACTCTACAATTCTATTATCCTAATTGGAGGTTCTAACCTATTCCTTTCTATCTTAAGGAGCATCATATGGGGCAAAGCATGTTTGAAGGGCAAAGAGGACATGCACTATTTATCTGGATGCCATTCCCCTTTCATGAAGAAGTCAAGCTTACTTACATTCCTAGATTCCATGCTTCAACCCTAAGCATATTAATTGGCTCAAGTGGCACACCAGGAGCCGACAAAGGGCTAAACAAGCACTGCTGCCCTGCCCTTGTCAAGGTAAACATGGTGGGGCTGGCAGCCACTCAGCTGCAGAACCATGGACAGCTCCAGAACCATGGACAGCTCCGTGTGTGTTCTACTGTAGTTTGCTAAGGCTGCTGGGAATGGTAGCTCTGTGAGGGGTAAACTACGGTTCCCAGGATGCTTTAGGAGAAACCATGTGCTTCGTTTGTATCATGTAGATGTGACCTAAAAACAGACTGAAGTATTTTATGCTGCCAAGGCCAGGTCCTATTTCCCAAGCTCTTCCTCTTCCTGGGAGCACTCCTTCAACAAAGACACCTGGAGGTTGGCTTCCTGTACTGATAAGGTCAACATGGAGGTGTGAGTTGGTTCCTCAGACAGGCAAGCTCTTGATGTGATGGACTCCTGAAGTCCTGATCTGAGGGTCATTGGATCAAGGGTCCCAATCCAACTGGACTCTAGTTCATGTCTAGCTACAGTACTGGGACTTAGGTTGCTTGCTAGCATCTCTGCTCCCAGAACCACTGCTTTTAGTGTCAGTTTGAATTTCTTAGTACAGTACAGAAAGTATTGATCTGATGTGTAGAGATCTTTCCTATTCTAATTAATTCAAGAGGGTTCTGGAAGCTTCTCTGTGTGAAAGAAACAAGCAGAAGGTTCACGATGTTTGGGTTATACCTTCAGAGAAGCTTTGTACAGCTGGCTTAAACTGGTTTTGTTATCTCTCACTCAAGGTCATGCTGACTATAAAAGTAAGGCCAGAGGGAGCCTGGAATTCACTCTCTCTTTCTGTCTCTTTTCCTTCTGGTATGGTGTTCTGTACACAGTATGCTTAATATTAAGGTTTAGACTTATTATAAGTTATTGTAAGTTTAAGTTAAGTCTGCTGCAACTGGATTTCTTATGGACAGTGCCAATCCTGAATGTATTTGATCTGTGACCATTATGCTCATTTGCCATCAGTAGCAGTAAAGCTCTGCTAGATGAAATATTAATTGCCTCTGGTCTATTTTTGGGGAATCCTGCAACGTGTTTAAGTTTTCACTCTGCTAACTATACATCGGAGTTCTACTCTGAATCAATATTGAGTAAAATTTCATGACATTTAGAACTGCTTCCACAGCAACTCTTCCTCATCTGAGCCAGAGTCTAGGCTGCTGGGTCAGTGTAGGGGTCCTGACAACCGCTGCCATTCTTCCCAGGTCCAACCAAATTGTATTATTTATCACGGCCAGCATTGGGTCATAAATTCTGCCCTTGTGCCTCTAAGACCACCATGGCAGCAAGAAACCCAATCCGTCCAGATGGGAACATTTGTAGGGAAAAGCAATGCACAATCTGAACTTTCCTCATCCGTAAAACCTAAAAGACGACCCAGATGTGTACTTCAAAAAACACAGATGTTGCTACTCCTAATTACATGACAGAGATTCCTCTCTCACGGCCCACTGAGGAACTGCCTAAGGAAAACAAAATACCAAACTCTTAACTGTGTAGTGAAATTGTTCAAAATGTGCATATGGTATGTGATCTTGAGAACATTGCCTGGAAACAGGCCAGAGCCATAGCCATTAAGTCTGATTTGTTTCATACTTCTCGAGGCTGACTGGATTGGTTATGGAAGCAGGGTATAAAGGTAAAGGTAAAGGGACCCCTGACCATTAGGTCCAGTCGTGGACGACTCTGGGGTTGTGGCGCTTATCTCGCTTTATTGACCAAGGGAGCCGGCATACAGCTTCCGGGTCATGTGGCCAGCATGACTAAGCCGCTTCTGGCGAAGCAGAGCAGCCCACGGAAACGCCGTTTACCTTCCCGCTGGAGCGGTACCTATTTATCTACTTGCACTTTGACGTGCTTTCGAACTGCTAGATTGGCAGGAGCAGGGACCAAGCAACCGGAGCTCACCCTGTCGCAGGGATTCGAACCGCCAACCTTCTGATCGGCAAGTCCTAGGCTCTATGATTTAACCCACAGCGCCACCCCTCGTGTACAAATGTAGGCCCAGCTACTTACACAAAGGTAGCTACTTGCAGGAGAGAGAAGTAAACCAAAGGCTGCTCTCAAAGTTCTCCATATTTTGTACAAAGTAAGAATACACATATGTTATTTGTTACAACTTGGGAGCTACAGCACTGGTAAACTTTAGCTATGGTTAGTTCTTATGAGGCTATGTTATACATACTACCAGAGCCAATTCCCTCCCCCATGTGCCTAGTTTTTTGGATACAAGAGGTGAGTAGAGTCATACCTTGGGTTACAGACACTTCGGGTTGCGCACCGCACTGAACCCGGAAGTACCAGAACAGTTACTTCTGGGTTTCGGCACTTGCGCATGTGCAGAAGCACTAAATTGTGCTTTGCGCATGCGCGCCAAATCACGACCTGCACATGCGCAGACATGCAGGTCGCGAACGCTGTGGGTTGCGAACATGCCTCCCGCATGGATCACGTTTGCAACCCGAGCGTCCACTGTATAAGAAAGGAATATTCCACTTTAAAACACACGGTAAGTAAGTAAGGTGGGTGAAGGAATCAGTGAGCTATTTGTGGAAGCCTGGAATATCATCCATGTTGTCTCTCCCACACAGTGTTCGAAATCAGCCAGGCGCATTTTGCACCTGGCTGTTGGCCACTTGCAACCAAGTAATGATGCCTGGGTGCCAGGATAGTGCCTGACATCTCTGTTAAGATTCCTGCTCTGTGATAGCAGTCATGGGATTGTTGTCTATCACATGACGGTGTATGTTTTGACTCCACAGAGTGGGAAGTAATGGAGACAGGATGTTTGTGTTACTGTGTTCTGGGAAATGGGACTATTGTCCTTTGTTCTCTCTCTTTCTGTCTGATGAGAAAGAGGAAGGAGCGAAGTCAGAATGCTCCGAGTATATTGTATGTAAATAAACATAAATTAGCAAAATGCTGAGCTACTGAGTTCTGTTATGTGAACTGCGCAAACTCTGCAGATCCGTGAGTGTGCTGATGGCATCAGTCGCTGTGATGTTCAGGCAGAAGAAAGCTGTGGCATCAGTCATCTGTTGGCATCAGTCGCTGTGATGTTCGGGCAGAAGAAAGCTTTTGAAGCTCCCAAATAATCAACCAGGAGGGAGAGAACATGCCAGTTGGGCATGTGTCTCTGCCAGGGTCCTACTCGAGAGTAGGACAGCTCTTGACAATCTCCACTTTGTGGAGATCTTTGGTCTTGGACTGTTTCCACACACTCATACCACATCCTGTAGAATTCTATCAGTTATAGTTTATCTGTGCAATCAGAATGAATTTCAGGAACCACAATGCTTTTTCTGTGCAGCCTGAGCAGGAACTGTCACCATTAAGAAAAAAGTCTGAGTAGGCCAATATGTGGACTGTCCCTCGAGCAAGTGACTTTTCTTCTTTAAGTCCTCAAAGTTCTTTACTTAACTCAAGGTTGTTATTGGAACTAGCCAGATGTTTAACTGTGAATCAATCATAGTCCATCCATCATTGGAAAAATAAGGTATTGGAGCCGTCCTGCCCCAAAATGGCAGCTAGACATTCCGTTTTGGTGACTGCAACCTTGGTTTAAGGAGCCACTTGGTGCCTAGCTGAGGCTCCCACATATGCCAACAGATACTAAGCAGAACTGAGCCTGTGGAGGTTGGTCCATTGCAGCAAATGGGGCACTGCCCCACCAACCTCAGTCTGACCTCAGCCAGCCTTCTTATTTAAAACCAGTCCAGGCGGTGCCTGTCATCTTCCTCCACAGTTTCAGTGTTGCCCTTGCAGAACCCAGCAAGGAAGAGGGTGGGGACGAAGCTGGAATTACCTGCCCCTGCCTCTCATTGGTTCTGGCTTCACCTACCTCTCTGAGTCTCCTTCTTTCTGCCCTCCAAGTCACAATGGGCACTAGCTACTGCTGCCTGAGCACTCCTTAGTCTGCGGTACAGGGATGGCAACGTCCAACTGGCATCGTTTCAGTCTTATGACTTCCTCTAGATTTAATACAAGCCAACGTGGGTGGCGCTGTGGTCTAAAACACAGAGCCTAGGGCTTGCCGATCAGAAGGTCACAGTTCGAATCCCCGTGACGGGGTGAGCTCCCGTTGCTCGGTCCCTGCTCCTGCCAACCTAGCAGTTCGAAAGCACCTCAAAGTGGAAGTAGATAAATAGGTACCGCTCCGGCGGGAAGGTAAACGGCGTTTCCGTGCGCTGCTCTGGTTTGCCAGAAGCGGCTTAGTCCTGCTGGCCACATGACCCGGAAAAACTGTCTGCGGACAAACGCCGGCTCCCTCAGCCAGTAAAGCAAGATGAGCGCCACAACCCCAGAGTCGTTCACGACTGGACTTAAGGAGTCAGGGGTCCCTTTACCTTTACCTTTATTGGAAGCAATTTGGAGGAATAAAGCCTTACCCCAAATTTGTAAATTATACTTTAGCATAGACATATTTTATACTGAGGTTTGGCACTTAGTCACACATGTTTTTTTAGGTTGTTTTTTTTAAGGCCACTTGTGAAGAAGCCAATTATATTATCACAGTAAACACTGTACTGTCAATCATGAGCAATATCTGATAACAGGTTAATTACGTGAATCATTTAAGCAGCAACCTAAGCAGACAAAGGCTTCCTGATACAACATTTCACAGACACAATGTTCCCCTTTCCAGCAAGGCATACATTCAAGCACTAAGAGAAGTTGGTATTTAGAAACTTAAAACAGGGTTGCATGTACAAAGGACAAAA